CATCCTGGTGAAAAGTTCATTTGGTAAATGATCCATAATAAATGACAAGGCATTCGCATCGTTGTTAGCAACACCCATTATTAGGGGGCGTATCCTAGTCTCATAAGTTTCTGGCGTATCATTAGGTAAAAATTTTTCGTATGCTAATCTCTGGAGAGCAACTTGTTGTGTTCCGACCGTTTCTGTCTGAAATTTATAACATAGCCATTCGTATAAGCGAGCTGGAGTATCAATATTATTTCCAGCATGTTGATTGGGTACATCTGCATATTTTTTACCCAGTTTGCTCTTCAAGATCACAACTTTATGAGCATCATCAATTTGTGTTACTGCGGGATATGATAATATGGCATTAATTCCATTATACCATTCGTCAGGTTGAACCTGTCCATTATAAAATTCAACATTTGCAAGTAAAGGTGCAATACCAGTCAAGTCACCTATAGGTGTCGCCATATTTGGTGGATTATTCTGAAGCGCTAAAATTTGTTGATTTAAATTTATAATTATTTGCCTCGAACCTTTTTCCTTATTTTCCCATTTTTTGTGTTTCGCCTTTTGCTTGATATGTTTACCTTTTCTCTTTGCATGCTTTCTACGCCAATTTTGTAAATCGGCTTGACATGTTTGTAGTTGCCCGGTCTGAAAAATGTGGGCCTGGTTAAGAAGATCGAAGTTATTATTCGCCGTATCCAGCTGAGCCTGCAATTGTATGATAATTTGCGCATCTCCCTGATTTTGGGTCTGAAGCTGGGTCACAAAATTATTTAACTGATTAATTGCATTAGCATCTTGCTGATATTGGACTTGCGCTTGGGTATTTTCCCACTCAGCTATATCCCAAAGCCTATTTACAGAATCGTTAACTGTAATAATTTTGTTTAGAATATCTCTTTGATTCCAGGCCGATATTTGGTAGTTTCGGATATAATCATCAATATGCCCATTTTCATCCAGAACTGTATCAAATATTGTATTAATCTCATTGGGAACTGGTGGTTGAATCTGATTCGGATTCGGTTGAGCCATCTTAACTATGTCAAGTGAATTTTTGATTTCTGCAGATTTATTATACTTCCAAGAGGTAATTTCTCAAATTTTCTTTTTTAAGATGACCACTTTCCTCTTCGAGTGTAGACAACCATTGCTCTAGATCAAGAACATAACTCTCTTTTTTATCCACATCCTTTAGAGCAGACCGAAGACGTTTTTGCAAATCGGATACTTGGGATTTGAGTTCCTGAATCTCCTTTTCGTGGGCTATGATTGTAGTATCCTGAAATGAAATTGACCTACTACATTGTTCTAGTTCTTTTATGAGAGTGCAGATTTTTTTCTCGTTCTGACAATTTATACTTACCTCTGCATTAAGTTCCTTCCTCAACTCCTGATTACTTTTCAGCAATGCTAAATAGGCGGGGTCGAAATTGAAACTCATGACAAAAAATTCAGCCTTGGTTTATAGTATCAATTATAACATTTCGCGATCATGGCAATGAGTGTACCTACTATTATAATCAGTGCTGATGAAGAATTAAAAATCGTTCTTCGTATAATTTACTATCACGTACCTGGATTTAGTTCAAACGCAAAGCAGTTACAAAAAGCTTGTTGGCAAGAAGGATATAATCATTTTTCCCTGCAAGATATTGCAAAATGGTTAAAGAACCAGTATGTTAATCAAATATTTCTCTTTCCGCAAAAATGCAAAGCAGGAGCGGGATTCCAGAAGATATCTATACCAAACAAAGTACATCAGTGTGATCTATTAGCCCATGGTTGTGATGATCAGGATGGTGAAAAAATATATCGTTATACATTAGTGGTTATAGACGTTGCTACACGTTATAAAAGTGGACGCTCATTAACATCGAAGAATAGTTTAGAAGTTTGGGAAGCTATCGAAGAAATTTACAATGATCCTAACAATCTTCACACATGGCCGGAATTATTGATGCTGGATGGTGGTAAAGAATTCTCCGGACACTTTGCAAGAGGAATGGAACGTCATAATGTACCTATTTGGGTTGTTGATCTTTATAGTTTCGAAAGCCTAGCATTGGTTAAAAGATTAAAACGAAGTTTGGCGAAAATAGTATATGATATTCAATATGCTATAGAATCTAAATTACCAGTAGGGGAGCGTTCGACATTATGGAATAAAATTCTCAAAGTAATTTTTGATGATATGAATCGTACTCCAACACGTCTTATCGGTATGGCCCCAATTGATGCAATGAAGTTGGAAAAAGTAATATCTAAACCTTCTATAAAACACAAAAGACCCATTGGGGAAAATGAAGAGCAAATACCGAAAGGGACTACTGTTCGATACTTATTAAAACCCGGTGAGCTAGAGGGTGGCCATAGACGTCGAGCGACTGATCCATATTGGTCATTACGTATTTATAAAATCAGAAAAGTCGTCGTTGGGAAAAATCCGCCACAGCCAGTTTTATATTATCTTGAAAAGGAACCAGTTGAATCCACAAAACATTTAATGGGACGTAATCCTCGTAGACCATTCAAAATGGAAGAATTGCAAATCGTAGATATAGAAAATTTAGAGTACCCGCCAGACGAATTCATCCAAAAATATCATTATCAAACTGTTAACCATGTGTCTTCAAACCCAGTGTATCCTCGAAATATACCATTATCAATTGAAACAGTCTTAGAGGTAGCCGTTCTTGCTTAAAGCTTCTCTTATAAAAGATTCAATATCCGAGAAATATGGTATTTCGATGAGGCATATACCTTCTTGCTTACATATATCCCGCTTTTTTTGATCACGTAGTTGCTGACTTGCCAAATCAGCCTTGCCATTCAGGTGAAAATGCTTCGGAACAACCTGGAAATGTTGCTGGCCATGAAACTCAAATGCTAGTTGCAATTCCTTATTATAACCATCGAGATGTAACCCTTTTAAGAACTTAGGTCTGGACGGTGGAAATTCTTTTCCTAACAGATCTTCGAATATATACCTCGATGTACGTTCTCCTTTCGAATGTGGACATAGAGGACACCACTCATATCTGTTCGTAATAATTTCTATTGGTCTTTCCCATAAGTGATTTCTATTACACAAAAATAAGAAAGTTGTAGGACCAGTTTGGATGTGAACTTTTCCTCCGCATTTTTCAGCGTAAATTTGAGCTTCAACGAGATTCGACATGTTAATACTTACTTATTATTATTATTATGTGTATTAATATTAGAAAAATTCACGTGCGCGTGAAGAATCTTCACGCCGATCACTCTTGGCAAGAAAAAAATTCGTAAAGATATAGTTACCGTCAGAATGAAATATTTTTATGTATATAATATCGATGAGATCAAACCACCGAAAAAATCTTTAGATGATGAAGATGCTCCAAAATGGCCTTTCTATATCGTGGTATCTGGGAGATCGAACACTGGTAAGACCAATATGCTGTTAAACCTCTTTCTCGGGGATAAGTATTATGATATGAAAGAGGGAAAAAAGAAAATTGGTGAACGTCCTATAAGATGTAATGATATTGTATTAGTAGGGCACTATATTAATGAACCCAAATACCGATTAATTCGAAACTTCTATAAGAAAATAGCAGATCGTTCAAAACCATATTATGAAGATGTTACTTTTACTGCACTTACGCCTGATAAAATTCCAGATCTGAAGCAGTTTAAAAATCCAAAAAGACGCACAGTGGTTATAATCGAGGATTTATGCACCGAACCACAGTCAATCCAGGATCGAATTATTCCATTTTTTAATAGAGGGCGTCATAGTAATATTTCCGCAATTTATATTTCGCATAAATTCACTCAAGTACCAAAAATTATTCGTGAAAATTCAACCCATCTTGTATTATTCAATGGCGGGGGATCAAAAGATGACATTCAACGAGTCATTCGTCAATATATAGAAGAAGATCCACGTAAAGCTTCCAGAGTCATTAACAATTATTTGCGGAATGGTGAATTCATTGTCTTCGATACTACTGTACCAATTTCCGATCCTATGTCCATCAGAGTCGGTTGGATGAATCCTCTAAACCTGGAAAAAGAGATCAAATCATTAACAGCGTAATAAAGAAAATAAATTATGATCGAGATTTTTTAGTGGGACTTATCTTCCGTTTCCTGTAATTGAAACTTTTTTCTTCGATTTCAGAGCGTAATTTCTTTCTCTAACAGACTGTAAGAATTAGGAATTTATCATTAAATTGTTAATATGATCGGCTGTAAAAATTAATCATTAAATTACTGACATTAAATTAAATCATTAAATTACCCACATTAAATTAAATCATTTCGTAAACGATGTGTGAGACTATCGTTATTGACCTCCATAACGATGAACGCATTGCAAACAATTGGTAATTACCGGTTATACTGATAATTTCAGACACTATATCATTGATTTGTAGATAGTCTAA